AGGAAGGAGGGAATGGGGAGGAAGGGAGACACAGTGTTTGCTCTTTCTCTCTTCCCAGAAGTGATGGAGACCTACCAGTTTTCGTTGCCATAGACTTCTTCCTTAACCAAGCCCAGCTATTTTGTGCCACTCTTCCCTTCCTCCTCGGTCTTAATTTGGTTATAATTTGCAACTCCATTAATTCGTAACCAAAGTTGGCACTTTTCTAGCATAGTTTTATATGGGGCGGGGGTATATAAACTATTTCTTACCATGTAGTAATATTGTGATGAGAAACTAACTGCGACAGTTCTGAGCTACTCTTTTATAGTCAACACTCACAAAAGTAACAGAAAAAGCACTATTTGGGTCAGTTAATGATGATCTATTTATTATTTATTTATTTATTTATTTATTTATTTATTTGGTGCATTTGTTGACCGCCGCTCTCAGCCCTAGGGTGACTCGCGGCGGTGTACAACATATAAAAGGCAAATTACAAAAGGCAATACAAAACAGCATATCCACAATACAACAATTATATAATTACACTAAATGATCCGCTCCGTCTCATAGTAGAATCATAGCCAAGCTCATAATCCAAATTCCGTTCCAGTTGTCTTGCCAAAACTAATTGTAGCATTTAATTAAATGCCTGCTCGAATAGCCATGTCTTTAAGCCTTTACGAAAAGACATAAGGGAGGGCGCCTGTCTGATGTCTACAGGGAGAGAGTTCCACAGCCGGGGGGCCACCACCGAGAAGGCCCTCTCTCTCATCCCCACCAGGCGTGCCTGTGAGGCAGGCGGGATCGAGAGAAGGGCCTCCCCGGACGATCTTAAGGCCCTCGTGGGCACGTAGGCCAAGATGCGGTCTGACAGGTATTTTGGGCCGGAACCGTTTAGGGCTTTGTAGGCTAACACCAGCACCTTGAATTGGGCCCGGTAGCAGATCGGCAGCCAGTGGAGCTGGGACAGCAAGGGCGTTGTATGCTCCCTGTATCCCGCTCCAGTTAGTAACATGGCTGCCGCGCGCTGGACTAGCTGAAGCTTCCGGGCCGTCTTCAGGGGCAGCCCCACGTAGAGAGCGTTGTAGTAGTCAAGGCGGGATGTGACCAGAGCGTGTACCACTGTGGCCAAGTCAGACCTCCCGAGGTACGGGCGCAGCTGGTGCACGAGCCGAAGCTGTGCAAATGCTCCCCTAGTCACCGTTGAAACCTGGGGATCCAGGCTCAACGATGAATTCAGGATCACACCCAAGCTGCGAACCTGCGCCTTCAAGGG